CACTTGAGATTGCGAAACTGAGGGAACAACGCCAAGCATACCAACCTCCTAAAATGGAGCTGTAACCCGACTGCGAATGGCCTTGCGATCACACGTCAAGGACGGCATTGACGTCACGATTGATAATATGAGACTAATGAACTAGAGCATGACGCGAATGAACGAGAAAATGGGCATGTTCAACACTTGAGCTTAAAATTGGAAATGTACATGAACAGTTCGGTAGTACTGGCCATGGAGAGGATGAAGTCAAAGCATACCGATGTGCATGGCCCTCTGCAGGTTGATTTCACTGCAAGCGATGAAAGCTATGATGGTCAACATGGCAGTCGCAAATAGGACAAGAAATCTCCGCATCCGCCAATGAAACTACAGGAGGATTTCCCCAAAAAAAGGCAGTCCTGCTGCACTCGAATACCATGAAACCACCCGTCCTTTTACTACAATAAATAATCACAAAAAAAGCTTACTCTCACGGGTTATAAGGCTAGAAGAAAAGCGCAAGGCAGTGGCGTCGCTATTTTGATTGGCAAAAAGATCCCGTACATTCGCCATGAAATGCACCACACAGCCTGCTATTCAAAGCACCTCACGATGTAGATTACACCTAACGACCACGAAGAGAACAAGCGAAGTATCTTTCTTACTAATTTGTACAGCAGCATTAAAGACTCAAGGCAAAGGTGCGGAAGCATGCTCGGCTAGATTGCGAACGTCGATAAATATAATCCCCTTATAGCGGGTGGTGATTTTAACGCTCTACACTGGGCATGGGGCTACACATATTCCTCTAGCAAGCCTTCATACGACAGCCTCCGATTTTGATCTCACTGTCATCACAGACCCGAAACTACAACTCGCTGCGGTACTTCAACATGCCACAACACTACAGCAGACTTCACTTTCGTTTGGGCCATTGAGTAATGCGGCTGGTACAGCTCAGGCATAGACCTTGGCAGCGATCACTACATTCTCCGAATAGATGCAGCACTCCCAGAAAGGAGCGAAGGGAGTACAAACTAATTGCTTGGGACAAACTTCGCTAATTGCCGATGCAGTCATGAAACACACTAGGACAAACCACAAAGCAAACGATAGCAAACTGGACAGAACAGCTCAAAGGCGACATTGCAGCCTCAGAACTAACAATTAGTATGGACGGTAAGGTTAAGAGAAAAAGCAGTTGGCTAGTGAACCTGTTTGAAGCCAAGCACTTTATACTAGCCAGGTAGAAGGGTAAACGTTTCAACCGAAGACTGCAAAAAAAGCTCGCTGAACTCAACGAAATCATTGAAACATACCGCATGGTTCATACCCGGCAGCAGTGAGAAGAAGTTTGATGAAACTCCCTCTAGTGGCAAATACGAGAAGGGAGTAGATAGAGGCTCATAAGACGCCTCCTCGATAAAAATGGCACCAAGTCCAATTCTGTGCAATACGTACATCAGGCTCAGCAAGTTACTATACTGCGCAACACAACGCAGTGCTGTCGAAGGTTTTGTTGACGACTTTGCTAAGCGCTACCAACCACTTAAATTGGGAAAACCCAGTATCTTACAGTGGAAGATCAATGACGGTGCTCTGAACTAGAAACTCGACGCGGACCACACAGAGAGTGATATTGTTTTCGCGATGCGCGAACTCAACAGCAACTCAGCAGCTACACCGATAGCGTCATGAATTAGGCTCTCCGAAATCTAGATGATGATTCCATCAGCTTCTTAACTGAACAAATCCGCAAAGCCTATAAAACCGCCCGTTTATCTAGAGCGGGAAGCGTGCAAACACAGTTCTCATTCCAAAACCCGGAAAGCCACAGGGGTTATCAAACATGAGGCCGATCTCACTAACGTTCTGCATAGGAAAGCTAGCCTTACATATCATTTTGAACCGACTCACAGAGTACGTCAAAGAAAAGAAATACTTCTCCTACACTGTGATTGTATATAAGCCTGGTTTACCAACGCAAGACTCCGTGCTTAGAATAAGGAAAAGTCTGCTGAAGCGCTGCCCACGAGGTACCAAGGTGCTGCTCAGTCTCGATGTGGAGAAAGCTTTTGACAATATCCAACGTCTGCCAATCTGACCACTATATCTGATCACAATCTTGGCACACACTTCTGTCAATAAGACATTTATCTTTTGAAAGATTTAATGGCCACTTTTCGGATTGGCTAGCACGTCGTTCAAAGTTTTGAGCTGGGTTATAATAGAACAACTCAAGGCTCGGTACTTTCGCCAATCTTATTTTATCTGGCTGTAGTAAAGCTCTATAGCGCACTCTGAGAAATAGCAGCTGAGAAGCATACCATCTACGTATACGATATCATCATTTAGAACACTGGTGGCAGCGATGAGCAATTAGAAGCCCGCATGCAAGAAGCAGTCTCGTCACCAAAGCACATCTCCCCCGATGGAATTCTGCTGCTCTTCCAGAAAATTTGAGCTGCATATCTATCATCCTCCCAGAGGAGCATGCCCATGAAACGACTGGCACAGATCCGTCCCTCCAATCATAAAGTTACGTGATTCAGACGGGAACCGCATGACTATGGTCGACGACATTCGCGTCCTTGGACTCATCATATAAAGTAATTACTCCAACTTGGTGATGCTGGACAGCATCACATTCAAAAATGCGAACGCGCTCCCAACGTTTCTGCGCATCATGAATCGGCACAGATGACTAGGCGAGGACAAGGCTATAAGAATAGCTGCGATATTGAACTGGGATGCTGAGTGACTGCGATTGAGTGGCTGAACTGAGTGTCTGCGATGCTCGACTGGTATAACGTAGAACGGCAAAATCTGAAAGCACACATACGACGCGCTTTTAGGACAGCGTCAGGGCGTCCCAATAATGCCTCTACCGCCCTCTTCTTCGTGGTAGGAGTGCATAATCCCCTCGCTAAAATCATCGAAGGCTAACTCATGGCACAGATCGCACGCATATTCAGTACCCAAGCAAACAGAGATATTCTCATCATGCTCGGTCTGCGCACCATGGCGGAAAGAGACAATGTTCAGTAGTTACCTAAAGTAATGCTAAAAGAAATTGCAGTGCTTTCCTTGCCAAGAAACGTACACATTGTCCACAATATTGGAAGAAGACTCGCCCACATGGAAGCCCACGCGGCAGATGCTGCAAGATTTTCCCGACCAGACAGCTTTCGTGGATGCATCGCACATCCAGGGAAAGAACGCCCACTCGGTCGTACTAATTGACGGACACGGGCAAATGCGCAACTCACTCAATCTTTACAACAGGAGGCCGAATGTAACCAAACTCGCAGCGATAGTTGTCGCTCTCACAGGCACGATCTTCCCAATAATATACAGTGACTCCAGAGCAGCCACTCCAGCTTTTGCGAAAGGTGGTAAATACAAGACGACAGTGCGAATATAAGGTGGACATAACATCACTAAACACTCCATCTTATGTTTCCCGGCACACAAGGGCAGCTTAAGGGACAACCTGCGGACTCCTAATGAGACTGCACATGAGGCGATGCGAGGACTCATCGACGGCGTCACTCTGCTTTCCCCTCCTACACTTCACATAGAGTACAGGGATCAGTTACTCTATTTCAACGAAATCACAAAGCACTTTTATCAAGACCGACGAAAGATCCCCCCTCTCGGATAAGAAATTAACGCACAGCCAGTCGGGTCACGTTACGTTTGCTCCAGAGTTACATTTGCTCCAAAGCGCCACGGGCTGGGGTGACATTATGTCACCCCAGCCCGTGGTACATGAAACATATTGTCCCAGACTACGATGAAAAACATGTGTGTGAACTATGTCTTGTGCGTGTATAGTGAAACCATATGCTCTTTAATTGCGCATTGAGTACTTACGCCATGAACAAGGAACAGTGGGCCAAAGTGCTAAGTACTTCACTAGCAGGCAAACTTCGGACTGTCCAAGAGTCCCGCGAGGCGGTGGAGAGCTTCGCGCTTTCGGTTCCGACGTGGGAGATGCCCGCTACGCCTGATGGATTGCCGAGTGTCCTCCAAGACCCCGTTTTGGGTAATTAGGTATAACCGACTTCAGCGCACTGTTGTTAATAATAATGTCGCATTAGACACTGTCAATCAAGCATTGAGTTTTCACTCTGACATAAATTATTAGTTGACTTTAGGGTCCCTTTAGGTAAGACTCAGTAAGACTTGAGTAAGACTTGTGAGACGAATTGATCAACATCGATTCGGTGCAGCCAGAGTCAGGTATTAGCGTGAACTTGAAAAAAGACAGCTTCAAGAAAAAAATTAGGGCGAGAATAAAGGTCAGGTGCTAAATTTCACTCAAACATTTGAAATAAAAAGCCACCAGATTACAACTATCTGCATATGCATGCAACAACATTCGCAGACACTGGTCCTACTCGCATACCAAAAAGCTGACGCTTATTTTGGTAACGCGAAACAGCCGGATTATAATGCAATCTGTGCCAATTTTGTTAATATAAAAAGCTTCTAAGAATTTTCGTGCTAACGCGTCGTTACTTGTCGGCCTCGGCTTCGCGAGATCAAAGTAATAAATAGGCAGAAGCAACGACACATTAGCGCAACTCATTGAGGTTTAGCACCAGACCTTTCTGTCCCACTCCCCCTACCTCTTTTCTCAAATCTGTCTATACAGAATATATATCATGTTAGTGCTTTTTACTTGCACATAAATCTAAGTAAAGTGCTTCATGGACTGTCGCCGCCATTGAAAATGCGCTCGTTGCGGCCAAGATTCGGTCCTACGAGTCAGCAGTTAAGTGCAATAACAACTGGACCCCTGCGGTGGGTCTCCCATAGCTTATTATATCTGTGTATGTTTTTTCATTTAAATTATCATCCCTATAGCTCTTTTTTGTGCATATATATTACTAAGGATTTCTGTTTTTTACTGTGAAATATTGTTGGTGGCGAGGCAACCGACCTTGACCTTCCCTGTTTCTGTCTTTTTGCCATATTTGACAAGACTCGTTTATTCTCTTCTTCAATCTTAGATGGCAAGGTTCAAGTCCTACTTGACAGATAAGAATCTGCCTGGAATACGACTCGGTGTCTGCGTCATCGATGCTTGTAGAGAACAAGACCTAGCCAACATTGGCAGCGTTCGTAAGTTCCACGCATTGATACCGTAATGATAAAACAGGTAATTGAAACAATCGTGCACGGCACTTGAGAAATTCAACGGCTTTCTCATTACCGACTGGCGTCATAATAGTACAATAGTCAGTCAATTGTAAATGGTGGGTCAGCTCAGAGCATTCTGAAAAGCATCAAGCTAGTCGTTAAGATGAAACAAGTCGATTGCTGACAATATAATTATTTAGATAAATAATGACTGTCGAATAAGTACATACGGCCTAAATAAAAAGACAAAAAAGGAGAGAAAACAGACTAATTTCTTTCTGCCACCTAAACATGAAGCACTTCACAGACCATCTGCTGCATAATTTATACTTTAATGCTCACAGTTGCAGGATCTTTCATGAAGGTTACCGTGAAGGACTGCGTGACAAATGTGTATGAAGGAATGAGCTTCGTTCAAGCCTGCATAATGTAAGTATTTTGTAGGTCATATGAGTGAATTACTTTTACTTTTTACCAAATAATTATTGTCTCTTATTGTCATATCGATAAATTTGACAACCCCTTTAAATACAGTGCATACGTTTTTATGCTGTTGTTAATGCACTTTTTTCAGCGCATTCTTGGTTGTTCTCGCAGCAGTTATTGCTAGTGGAACAATCTTTGAATTATTTGCCAAAAACTGGGATTGTGAACGCAATAAAGGTGCGTGTAACTTCACTCATTTTCCTTTAAAATATTGAATAAGTGGTTGCAACAGCCGCTTCGCGTTCTATGCAGAATCGCCGACGTACAATGATGACCAGAAACATTCATTGGATAGCTGTGTGGCATACGGTATTTACTGTTAAAATCCACAATACAAAGCTACGCCTACGAATTTTCTAAGCCGCATGTGCCTTACCGAATCAAGTCAAGACAAACTTGAATACAGAAAAGTTGCTATTTTTCTTCTGCGCTCTTTAAAATTTGTGAAATATAGGCAAGGAGAAAACACTTGCAGTTGAGTACTTCCTAAATGCAGCTGTATAGGATAGGCTCTTGTATCTGGCCAAAGGTTCGCATGCTTAGGTAAAGAACCGAGTCACTCTTATAATAACATCAGGCACAGTAAGAGCAGTCAGGTGGGGTATTTGGCTGCTTGAACCTAAAATAAACTTTCCACCTATGTATGAAATTTCAGCGCTCATCTTGTTTGAATGGAGTCCTCATGTCTCGCACTTGAAGAGAGGCGCACCCCTATCGTCCGCGTAATGAAATTTCGTGCCGGTAAAATGGGAAGCACATCCGTATCAGCAATGGTTAAGGTGTATAGAGCGCTCTTGTTGGATGTGTTGGTGTTATAGCACACCCGTGCTTTAAAATGCTAGGAAGACTAACATCCATGTCCTGCGAAGCATTCAATGGCAAAACATTAACACATTCTTGGGGTTACTTAGGTGTACTAACACTGTCGCAACAATTATCATTGCCAAAGACCACCTGAATATGACATATATAACTGTCAGCACTCTCCTAGCCCATATTAGCCATATATCCAAAATGCCTCACCGTCACCTCACTAGCCTGCTACTAGAAAAAGTGAACGCATAGTTGCCCGAATCGTTGTGGTTATAGCCAGAATTCCATCTCCTGGAAGTTCTCAGCCACAACCATGCCAGTATGCCCGGAGCGGTGCCTGCGAAGACCCCCTTTGCACCTTGAAGTGCCGGGGATGTACAACAGAAGTAGCCTGACTGTTGAAGCCATGAATAAGATGTCATTGGACCTTTTGCATATATCGTATGCTAACGGAACTCATATCTATACGGATGGTTCAGTCTAGAGATGCTCGACTGGTTCGGGCCCTTTTTTGTTCTATCTCGGTCCATCACCACCATGTTCAAAGCCTCACACGTCTCGACATCTACGGGCTCCAAGATTGCAGTACTTCTAGCTGCAATGAAATATATTATGCAGGAATCCTCATGTAAGTGGGCTATGTTTTGTGATTGCAAGGTGGCTCTTCAATAAGTGAGAAGTCCACAACGCGGGAAGTACCATCAGTTGGTACCTCAGATCAATGAAATCAACTATCGTGCCACTAACCAAGGACATGACATAGTCTATTGTTAGCTGCCGGGTTACTTTAAGATACGTGGTACCACCTCGCTGACAACGCTGGCTGATGTGCCCACGACGGAGAGTCCACACTGATTATACCCCTGTCTAAGGTTGACGATGCAAGAAAACTTCGCCACTACGCGCACAATGCTACACTTATGCATTAGAATCTTTCACTGAACTCCACTCGACGGCCTCAGAACTTCGGCTCATCACTCGAACTCTAGCTGTCAACGAAGAGTTTGTAAAGTGACGCTAAAATACTGTCGGTTGTGGGTCAGCATGGCTTTTACAAACTCATTCAGTTATCGCATTTGTCTGGCTTACTCCCCTAACTGCGATAACTGCAATTGCATAGAAACTCTCGACCATGTCCTGGACTCGCCATTGTACCTTCAGAAGACTGGATGATCGTGCCTTTACTCTGGAAAAGACATTTGGTGCGTAGTCTTTAAGCACATTCGTCCAGAAATCCTCACGAGTCCTTGTCGAATTTCTGACGATGACATCACTGAGCGACCGCCTGTGAAACTATGCACTATGTGTGCAGTGTATGTGTGGTGTCCATTGTCCATCTTGTCCCTCTCTCTCTCTTTTATAGCTTTATTCCTCTAACCCCAAGCGTAGGGCAGGAAACTGAACTTATTATAGTTAACCTCCCTACTTTTTTATAACCTTTCTCTCTCTTTCAACCTGTTTGGACGTTTCCTTCTGTATGTATAGACAACTTTTGGAATGAGTTTTGGTGTCGACATTTCTCTGCTTTGAGGGTTTAATATCTAAACGAACAGCACTATGACAGAGTCATACGCATTAAGACGACTGGATTCGGGCATTAGACATTTCGTGACCTTATCAACTCACGTAACGCAGCACAAAAACATGATAACATTTGTTTAGTAACATAAGGTGACATAATATTTGTAAGACACAACATTATTCATGACTAACAGGCAATAATGCCAAGAAAATAATAAAGGTCTATTATTAGAGGTAATTGTAATAACATTCTGGAAAATAAAGTGGACAAAGAGATAACTTGCCACAAGCAGGATACAGACCTGCGACCTCCAAATAACGCTTGTGATACTTGACCACTGCAACCTACTGTGGTGGTCGTCCCCGTGTTCTCTTTATAGGGTGCATATGTTGTGCATATACACGTGGAAGCGTCAATCAGTGCCCCCTGCTACCAATAAGGGGATTGTGGAACACTAATTGTTTGCCTGCAGATATATATATATATATATATATATATATATATATATATATATATATATATATATATATATATACATGGGAAAATGTTTATACATAAGGGCTCGTTTTTTTCGTGTATTAACACAATAATAATGAAATCTAGCAGACACTAATGCCAAGGAATGTACAGGGGAAGTTGTTAGAACCAATGAATGTAAATAAAAAGAAAGAAAAGTGGATGAAGAAAACCAGCCGTAGGAGGAATCGAACCTACGACCTTCGAATAATGCGTTCGATGCTCTAACCACTGAGCTACCACAGCGGCCTTCCCTTCATCCACTTTTTTGGGTTTATATGTGAATTTAGAAGTAGGAGTGACAGCGCCATCTATGAGCCAAGCGACGAGTGTGAAAACACTCTTTTATGCGCATGTTTGGCGTCACGTAGCACGTGAACTTATTACGAGCGGGCAGCTGATTAATAGTCCGTTGTATACAACCAAAACACACCAAGTCTGCCAGTACAAGACCCTCGTTCAATGAAATAAGGGAAAGAAGGGTATACTTAAGGGCTCGTTTTTCCGTGTATTAACACAATATGAATGAGATCTAACAGACAGTAATGCCAAGGAATGTACAGGCGAAGTTATTAGAACCAATAGAATGTAAATAAGAAGAAAGAAAAGTGGATGAAAAAAACCTAGCCGTGAGCAGGAATCGAACCTACGACCTTCGAATAACGCGTTCGATGCTTTAACCACTGAGCTACCACAGGGGCCTTCCCTCCATCCACTTTTTTGGGTTTATATGCGAATTTAGAAGTAGAAGTGACAGTCAGCGCCATCTATGAGCCAAGCGACGAGTTTGAAAGCACTCTTTTATGCGCATATTTGACGTCACGTAGCACGTTAACTTATTATGAACGGGCAGCTGATAAATAGTTCCTCGTATTTTCTTTTTTCTTATTTACATTCTATTGAATCTAATAACTTCTCCTGGATATTCCTTGGCATTACTGTCTGTTAGATCTCAATAATATTGTGTTAATACACGGAAAAACGAGCCCTTAGGTATACACTTCTTTTCCTTATTTCATTGAACGAGGGTCTCGTACTGGCAGACTTGGTGTGTTTAGATTGTATACGAGGGACTATTAATCAGCTACCCGCTCATATTAAGTTCACGTGCTACGTGACGCCAAACATGCGCATAAAAGAGTGCTTTCACACTCGTCGCTTGGCTGATAGTTGGCGCTGACTGTCACTCCTACTTCTAAATTCACATATAAACGCAAAAAAGTGGATGGAGGGAAGGCCGCTGTGGTAGCTCAGTGAGTAGAGCATCGAACGCGTTATTCGAAGGTCGTAGGTTCGATTCCTGCTCACGGCTGGTTATTTTTTTATCCACTTTTCTTTCTTCTCATTTACATTCTATTGGTTCTAATAACTTCCCCTGTACATTGGCATTACTGTCTGTTAGATCTCATTATTATTGTGTTAATACACGGAAAAACAAGTCCTTAGGTATAGACTTCTTTCCCTTATTTTATTGAACGAGGGTCTCGTACCGGCAGACTTGGTGTGTTTAGGTTGTAAACAAGGGACTATTAATCAGCTGCCCACTCATAACAAGTTCACGTGCTACGTGACGCCAAACATGCGCATAAAAGAGTGCTTTCACACTCGTCGCTTGGCTCATAGATGGCGCTGACTGTCACTCCTACTTCTAAATTCACATATAAACCCCAAAAAGTGGATGGAGAGAAGGCCGCTGTGGTAGCTCAGTGGTTAGAGCATCTAACGCGTTATTTGAAGGTCGTAGGTTCGATTCCTGCTCTCGGCTGATTATTTTTTCATCCACTTTTCTTTCTTTTTATTTGCATTCTATTGGTTTTAATAACTTGTCCTGTACATTACATTCCTTGGCATTACTGTCTGTTAGATTTCGTATATATATATATATATATATATATATATATATATATATATATATATATATATATATATATATGGGCTGATGAGATTACATATATGGTGGGAATAGAGTGGCAGCAGCAGGCGCAGGACTGAGTTGGCTGACGAAGCATGGGTAGGTGAGGACTTTGTCCTGCAGCAGTAGGCATAGTCCAGCTGATGATATATATATATATATATATATATATATATATATAGCATGACACTGTTGCGGATTTTTAAAGAAAATGGAAGGTTTACTTCTTCAATACTTGACTCAACTTTAATAGTGCACACCATTTTATGACATACGTGTTTCATTAAAATCCCAAAAGTGGCAGGTAGTTTGAGATATTCATCATCCAACTTCACGGCTGAAATTGATATTGATTGCAGCTGGCGCGCGCCATAAGCGACGGAACACAGGCTTGGCACGGGACAGGAAAGAGACGGAATTTGATTGAAGGCTTGCCAAAAAGAATTTTGGTCAGAAAACATGGCAGGCCTTATGAAATACGCTAGCAGACAGATTGATGCATGCGTGTGACTTGTAATGCACATCTGTTTTTGTTTCCTCAAACATAAGAGGTGCGAAAAACTACAACAGCTGTCTGCAAGACGAAGCGCCGCAGTGGCTGTTTCAGTGTTTAGTGCTACTCAGGCAAGAAAAACGCTTCAATTCCAGTTTCCCTGAGCACGGTTCGACTGAAAGGGATGATCATAAAACAGTACGTGCATTAGTAAGATGATGCGCTATCACAATGGACATAAATTTCAGCTTTTCACGGCGTGCTGGTATTTAAAGTTTGTCACTTCCATGTCACCGTGTCACGGGTAGTCGCGCTCAGATGTAATGTAGTCATGCTTTGGGTACGCCTTGCACGATAACTTTTGGTTTTACCCGGCAAGATTGTAATTCTGTGTCCTAATATTCCAGCCACTTTTTACAAGTGCGTCAGTGCCTTCTCGCTCGTGAGCAACAGTAACCGAATTCTGCAAATCATGGAGGAGGACAATCCCGAAAAACGGCGCTACAGGTTTGCGTACGGCCTTCGTTTCTTGAGCATGTTCTGGATTTGTCTGGGACATTCATATGGTATGATCAACGAAAACATCAGTAAGTTATTATTGCCTACACGTGCGTTCACTTAGGTAATGAAATTATATTATTATTATTATTATTATTAATATTATTATTATTATTATTATTATTATTATTATTATTATTACTATTATTATTATTATTATTATTATTATTATTATTATTATTATTATTATTATTTATTATTATTATTATTATTATTATTATTATTATTATTATTATTATTATTATTATTATTATTGGTGTTGAGGTTTAATGTCCCATAACCACAATATGATTATGACAGAAGCTGGTGTGGAGGGCTACGAAAATTTCGACCACCTAGTGTTTATTACCGGGCACCTAAATCTGAGTGCAAGGCTTTAATGCATTGTAGACCCCATCGACAATGAGGCTACCATGGTCAGGATTTGGTCTCATCACCAGCGTGTCACCAGTCAGGGAACATGACGAATAGGCCACGGTGTCGGGTTCTTTCTCTTAGTGTGGTATAATATATTGAAATTCGTGCAATTTTGTGACTTTCATCATTTCAAGTGTTTAGATTATCGACATTTAATTCCACTTTAGTTAGGTCACTCAGTTTGTTTGCACAAGTGTGTAATAGTTTACATTTCCAACACAAAATGTGCCTAACGTTATTCGAGATAAGCGATTGGAAGCTGCATGCTCTCAGAAAATCAAATAAAAATTTCTCAAAAGATAATAATCATGCATTCCAATCATGCATCGTAAGACCACCTGTGGCTAAACATTTAAACTACCAATGTCAGCTGTCGACACTCCTGGTTAGATATAGCTGGCCTCACTTCACATACCATTGCTATCGGGTGTATTGCTTCGCTCTTTATGCGAAACTGCTGTTTCTTCGTGATCTCTACTTCAAAACTATCTGTCAAAACTAAAGTGCTTTCTCAACATACATATTAAGACTGGACATTTTCTTTTTTTTTCAGCAAGAATCTTCAATGCTGTGTACATCTTTGAAACCTGGGAGTCACCTATCATATCAGCAGCGTTCATGGCTGTAGACACATTTTTCTTTATGAGGCAAGCTGTTTGTCTTTCTGATTCTCAAAGCATTCATACGAGCTTAATGTCAAAGCATTTATTAGCCTTAGTGCTTGTATATTCAACGCCCTACTTTCTATGGCTTGCCCATTACTTATACAAATATTAATTGCAAAGGAACGTAGTATCTTCTATTGGCACATTATATAGCAGTGAAGGCAGTAGATTCACAAAGCGCACAAAGTTATGACATTTATTGTGTTGCAAGGCTGGTGTCAATAAAAACTTATTGCCTCAATTATACTAGATTTCTTCATTTACTCTTTCCTTCGCTCCGGTGACTTTTCATCTCCCTTGAGTGAGAAATGATCTTATGAAACTCCGAAATTTACATATTCTTTTTTGGCGCTTTATTAACTTTTTTTTCAGCCATGCTAAGAAATTCACGGGAGAAGAAATGCGTGAACTACACTGCCAGGAGCATAGGAAAATTTTTTCGTACTTGTGGGTTGGAGGCGTCCCCTCAAAAATGAATATTTTTCGTGTTGCACGCTATAGCCACTAAATAGAGTTTGTCGGGAGGGGAAGGGGGGAGGCATAAGCTTATTGTACCACTCTCTGGCTACGCCACTGAACACGGGACGTGTGTCTAGAATTCCGCCACTGTCTTTGTTTTTAGCGCAGAATAACAAAAATTCCCTGATAATTAACGTCAACCAACTAGGCCAACTTGATGCTCTACGGTAACGAAGTTACATTGGCTCTTGCATTTAATTTGTGTTTGTTATTGCACGTAATATTTTAGCGAAAAATAATGCGGAAAAATCTTGTTCACTCTATGCTAGTGCGTTAAGGTGTGATTTGCACTTTTAAACTATGGGTCTTTAGCTTACCACCTAATTTTCATGAACCAATGAGTTAAAGGACGCTGTTATAAAATATATTTAGCCTGTACGTATGCTTTCACGTTACCGTTTTACTGGAATAGCGGATAGAGTAGGCGAATGCGCACACCTTTATCGAAGGTATGCTTGCTTTCATTTCTTCAATCCATGTATTTTGGGGCTTCTTGCGACATCCACTTCACTCCAGCTGCAGCGTAAAATTAAGCCGAATTGCGAGAGCCAATGCCAGCCATGTCTTTTGAGCCTGGTTAACAAAGCTAGATAGACATAAAATAGCAAGTTTCCAAAAGCGGGAAGCCTAAAGCACCCGACATGCTGGATAGGTGACGCCATTTGACGTGAGAAACATGCACCAGACAAGCACAGAAATGTGAGAGCAGAAGCATGGTCCTTTTTGCCTCTGACGCATATTCATTGCTGCGCAATTACGAAAGACTTGGCTATTTAATCTTTTTTTTTTCCTTGTCATGGTGTTTCTGTCTGAGTCCTATGGTGGCATGTTTGTCCGAGTTTCTCAGCAACATGAATGTCACCAACAGTAAGACGCGATATGTGTTTCTGTTCATTAAGACACACGTGGCGGCGGTGATCGCATTTCGGTGTAGGTGAAATGCTATAGGCCCATGTACTCTGCTATGTCAGTACACGTTAAAGAACACCTGGAGGTAGGAATTTCGAGAACTCTTCAGTACGGCATCTCTCATAATCATATCATGGCTTTTAGACAGTAAAGCCCAAATAAAATTATCATTAACACACACATACACACAAACGCATTTGTGACTGCGGCTACGTGAAGCTTCACAAGCGTCACTGTAATCAGCCAGCAACTTGGTGTTCCTACCACCCTTTGCCTATAATATCGCATACAGCAGATGATTTCATTACTATTTGGCTGAAGCGATGATTGAATCTTTTTTAAGGGAGATGTAGTTTAAAGGCAGTCATCAAATCGTTCAGTGGTTCGCGCATACGTGAAAGTACGCCGCTTCCTACATATGTAAATGCTTACGTACGGGAAGCTAAAACATTTCCAAGACACGCGTTCCATTCGCACGGTAACCAATATTCCTTATTTCTTAAACATGGGACGTTCAGAAGTGTGTGGACAAAGTTAAAAGATGTACTGCTTCTTTCAATTCGCATTTTTTTCGTTTCAGTGGGTACTTGCTGTACCTCACTCTCAGCAAGCAGAAGGGAAATCGGGCCATCATTGCGGTTGTAGCGATTATTAGGCGGTTTATAAGGTAAGATTTATAAAAATGACACTTGTTTTTATTCTTGTTTTGTTCGTATCATGAATTTCACCTACAAAAAATGAGCTGAAACAGAGTGCGCTTAAGATACATTATCCTGCTGACAAGGTGTATCACTTCAAGGTGATTACAATTGTTGGGTACCTTCACTTACTTGGCGGTACGTAATGATCCTATTATTAAATTCAAAACGTGTCTTAGCGAACTTTGGCGACTGTGTCTGTAATTATCTATTCATCTATAATGCCGCTGCGGCATTTAGTCTGCTCTCCTGCCCATTTCGATGATGCGAACTATAACAAAATTGGTATGACATATATTGCTGTATGATGACCATAAGTGACTAGTCATAACGCAAAAATCATGACGTCTATGTCATCAATGTTATGATTTACAAGCCACGATCTTGCTGCTCTTGTGTTTGCTTTGTTCACATTACATATGGCAGAACTGGCATAGTATGACATGTTTACGTAGAAAACATAAGTGAAGGGCCCTAATGTGGAGATCATGACATGAGTGTCATGATCTCCACATGACTACATGCTACGCCCATAGAGAGCTCACAGCCGTTTTGTTAGCTTCAAGTATACCAATTTTGTTGTTGCGTGCCCTGAATGAACGACGAAGGTATATGACTGGTGCAAACGTGACAGTCTTGACATGCGTGTCATGTAAGAACATGACAACATTCCATGCTCATAGCGTGCTCGCGGCTGTATCGCTAGCTTCACATACACAAAATTTTGTATTACGTGACGCGAACGGACGATGAAGGTAAATCGCTCGTCCAAACATATTAGTTATGACATGCGTGTCATGTGGTAACATGACAACATGTCATGCTCTTAATACGCTCGTGGCCATTTTGTTAGCTTCACATATACCAAATTTGGTATTACGTGACGCGAACGGATGACAAAGATAAATAATATGTCCAACATGTTAATCATAGAATCCGTGCTATGGTAAACATGACTGCTTGCAACGCTCATGGTGCGCTCGCGGCAGTTTCCCTAGCTTCATATATACGAAATTTGGTATCACATGACTTGAATGGATGAGGAAGGTGTATGACTGGTGCAAACATGATAGTTATGACATGCGTGTCATGAAGAACATGGCTACATACCACACATTTTGATGCACTCGAAGTCGTTTCGCTAGCTTCACATATATCAAATTTGGTGCTACGTGACGTGAATTGATGGCGGTGGTGTATGACTGATGCAATCATGATAATCATCACACGGGTGCCATGTAAAACTTTACCACCAGATGCACTAATAGCGCGCTCTCGAACGTTTCGGCAGCTTCACATATACCAAATTCGGTAATACACGACTTGAATGGACGACAAACACAAAGGTCAAGCGCAAACATTATAATCATAATATGTAAGTCGCGTACGGCATATTTTACGTCCGCATCGCAACGTTGTGCCCATTTTAAATTGACATATCAATCTTCCCCATTCGTGCTTCGCGTATCATTGATTCCCACTCTACGTGGGATCTGCCAATTTTTTATGACAGTGAGGTATGCCCGGACGTCGTTAGCATAGTGGGCGTCAAGATGGGCGACTATGTAGTCGTAGCGGCTACGGCCTTTCGTTATATGCGCAAGGGAGAACTGGCCTCGATTTGGGTGAACCGTACACCGGGCGAGTCCGGCCAAAACGGCGGAATTTCGGTTGGTACTCATCAGGCATCCAGGTCACCAACGGCCGTGGTATCAGTTGCGCCTGCGTTGACAACGACCGCCAGAACAGAGCTTGGGGGGGGGGGGCGTATCCCAAGCGGGGTGGTGGGGAGTCTTCAGGCGAAAGCTGTTTAGCGGGCTCGCGCTGCTACTGGCTGCTGAAGCACCTGTCACCAGGCCTGCAGTTGCTGCTCAAGTTGTTGTACTTGCTGGCGCAGACCAGTGTGGGGTTTCTAGTCGGCCATGGCGGTACTATTTGTTCGGTTTTTGGGTCACCAGTTGTGGGATGCCGGATAGACGAAGAATAGATTTCAAGATTAGAACAGAACTTTTTATTCGATCTACAATGACAGCACCAGATCGAGCATATTGACGGTTCGCTCGTCAGAGGTAACGGATCAATGATCAAACCGAACTTGGCAGCTTGGATTCTACAGCCACGAGTTATGACGTAAGCCTCCAGTGAAGCTGCGTCACGCCGAAGTAACCAGTGACGAGATGAAGGCTTCGGAGGTTTGCGCGCAGTGGGCGCCACATTTGCATAATTAACTCTGCTGATATGTTTTTCACAGAACCGTAAATAGAAAACGTAAAAGACAACAAATGTAACAGAGCAGGAATGCAAACAATTTGAAGTTAGAATAGTGGCTAGCAAAACACAATTTTATTTCAATGTTGCCAGCGCTCTAACCGGCTTACCACTTCTGGTGTTGGTAATATTCATGTTCCTGTCAGCATCGTTACGCAACTGTGGAAATCTAGTTATATATATTATAAGCGACTGCTCAACATATGCCTGTGCGTACATTTGTAGATATATGTATAGGGATTTCTTGACGGTTCGCTCAATGAAAGAAGTACGTCACAGTCATCTTCCCTACTCATACTTGGCACAATATTGTTTCCAATGTTACGTTGTTGAATGAGCCGAGGTTTCTGACATTTTTGCAAAACAATCATAACTAGGCTGCATTGGCGGCCCCCAACTATGACCAATATAACGCGCTTAGTTTCGATTCAAGTGAGGACTCAAAATGCTCGGAGCGTGACTACAATCGCTACTTTCAGGATCACCATTCCCACGTTCTTCATGATCATGTGTATCTACCTACTACCACTGATGGCCTCAGGACCCAACTCCAAGGAATTCTACGACAGGTTCTACGCTGAAGTACGAAACCATTGGTGGCACTTGGTCGCCCTAATCTACAACTGGAGAGGGGAGGACTACGAAGTGGTAAAAATCATCAAATATTTTATGGTATGGTGTCATCTACAGATCTTATGCAAAATCTGCTGCCATCTAGTGGCTGCTGAATGTTTTTCCGCCATGTTGAAGGCTAAGCGCGTTCCGCGTGCGCACACATGGAGCGCACGTATCAACGTGGGCCCGCTATTGAAAAAGCCAATGCCGACATATTATCGTGTGCCGTGTTGCTCAGATTAAGGAAACAAGTATGCTGTAAATATGTTTGCAGGAGAGTACCTCCAGGTTATTTGAGATGCTGGCGAACGACACGAGCCAGAAGATCCTTTCTTTGCTCCGTTTGCTGCTTATGACTAACGGTGGTGTTTACGTTCACCGCTTTTCACATATGCCATATGTACCAGCATAATCACGCATCTGAAAACACCCTTTCGCGTCACGCCAGAACCAGACTGTTCTCACACCATCTGGTTGCAGGTGCAAACGAACTGTCTTTTCATATGACCTTCAAATCTGCATCGCAGTTACACTCGTTTACCTGCGCTACTCTTGAAAACATTACTTTGTTTATTATAATGCGAAAACAATAGCGTATTAGCTGGGTAGCTCATGTATGTAATTGATTCTCAGCGAACGGACCGACTGTGCTGGTACGTTGTGATTGTATTTGGTTTATGGCCGTGGCGTTAAACCAGGTAGCATTTGGAGGCACGCTTTAGCATGTTTTCTGTACGTATGGATTGACGATAAGCGTATTTTCAAGCATATTGTTTGTTGTCACTACCCATTTCTGGAGGAGGGGGGCATGACCCGGATTTACAGACTACCTCCTTTCTTCATACATTTTTAATATATGCCCTAAGAAGAGCATATATTGAAAATATATGCTCTTATCACCCTATCAGTTGTTTTTATCACCCTATCAGTTGTTCTATCTTAGCACCCTATCAGTTGTTCCCAAACGCTGATCTCCCTTCAGAATAATCCTGTCTCCCCCTCCTCCTCTTGGATGCAATGAAATCTTAAAAGATGCTTCAAGTGGGAGACGATTTCCGCAGAAAACTAAGAAAAACGTGTTTTCAGCAAATGCGTTACATTCGAGAGTAGGTGCGCTACACCGTTAGTTGAGTGCTACTGTGGTTTCACAAGCATTCAGCTGCTGACGCAAAAAATGTATGGCGTGAGTAGAGCGTGAAAGCAGCATTGACAACAGAAAATTTTCAGTTTACTGTGCTATTTATGAACACATATTGGAAGGTTCTTCCGTTACATGTAAGCTAATCATGGCCCACTCCTAGAATCAACTAATTTGTTTCACATTACCTTTGCGATGTGGATGGTGCGAAAATTTTTAAAATTTTCAAACGACTGTTATGCTAAACATAGGATACGTCGATGATTGCAGCAGTAAGACATCTTTATTCCTTTCACAATATAGAGTATGAAAGTTTATTTAAAATAAATGCGCAATGCATCAATTGACCTTTTACTGTTCTCTAAAAATGCGCTTGGACAAGAATCAGCAGAACTCGGTGGACGATATCAATGTGCCTAGCCGCGTCACGCTATAAAGCCTCTTCTCAAGCATACCTCATTACACGCACGTTATTGACATAGTTAACAACGCTCCACTCACTGCACACAAAAAAGACCAACAAAATTTATAGCCTTGTGAGAAGGTTCAATATGACAACACTTACAGGTAAGGCGCTCACGAACTTGTATCTTCTTGTTGCGAGGCAGCTGTTGAACCATAATAGCGACTACCGCAAAAACCAGGAAATACCGGTAACGTGCACAATCCCTATACATCCGTAAGACCTCTTGAGCCTCCGATTTTCTACTAATAAAGCACATACATACATGAAGCTCAAGCAGCAACAGGAATGGAAATGTAACAGGAGCTTCCCATATGACATTTCTTTTCGATTGCTGTAACACCCTGGTGCACAGGCATGAGATGCCCTCTGTAACATCTTCAACAAACTCTTGAAAGCTGGCGCCAATCCGCAAGATTAGAAAGTTAGCCGCTTGGTACCACTTCTGAAACGTGGCCAGTCTAACCTAAACATTAGCTTTTACCGACCAATCAGGCTTTCAAGTTGCGTTAAAAGTAATGCAGCAAATGATCCTGGCCAGGCTTGAATGGTACCTTGAATACTACGAGACTTATCCATACACCATGGCAGATTTTTACCGTCACCAATGTTCCATCGACAATATGATTGATCTTGTCACGTACGACCAACATCAAAGGCATGTAAGCAATTATTTGCTGACATGTTTCCTGATGTGAAAGGACCTTACGACAGTTTTCTTCATGACGTCATTTTTTAAGCCATCGAGCCAGTGGGCCTAGGTGGTCAACTGTATTGTTGGACACGCAGTTATTGAAAAGGGCGAACCTTATTGTGAACACGGTAGCTGGCCCAGCCTCCCAACACTCCACGCATCGTGCAGTTTAGCCAGGTGGCATCTTGAGCCCAACCTTCTTCAACCTCATTCTCAATGATCTTGTGGAACAACTGCTAATTAGTGTCAAGCTAATTATGTACGCTGACGACATCAGTGTGTGGACATCTGGCGTGAAAAGATGTCAGGTACGCGCAAGGCATCAGAAAGCTGCGACGTTGGTATGGATGTACCCCAATGAACAGGGTCTGAAGATCTTGCCAGTGAAATGCGCATTGATTGCTTTTATTCGGAAGCCAATGACACCATACGCTATATCTATCAATGACCAATTCATACCATATGCCAGTATGCACAGATTTTTAGGCGTACTGAATAATAAAGATCTCCGCTGGGGCCCACATGTAGCACACTTGAAAAAGAGGCTGACAGACATGGGTAATGTACTCAAGCATCTGAGAGAAATAACCGGGGGGAGCTCAGTACATGCAATGATGCATTTGTACAAGACTTTTTCGGCTATTTGCGACACAGCTTGCCTGTGCTGAACAATACCCACAGAACCAGCCTTCGCACTCTTCAACGTGTACAGGCTAGGGCTCTGCCTGTTTCTGTGGGGTCACCGTACTGTTAGTCAACTGCTGAAACATTTACGATTGAAAATGACCACCCACTCACGACGCATATTGTAGAGGAAGCACTCAATGCACACGTGAGGCATCTTACTCGCGCTCCTACCCATAACCATACTCCACTGCCAGAAGACCGACCTCATGCTTTATTTTGCCAGACGTTTTTTGTCATATTGTACACGCACACCTATGGGTTATACAACTCTATCCAGAATTGCAATTCCCCAATGGTGTATGACTCTTTCGCAGGCTCAAACCATGCTTCCAAACATATGGTCAAAAGCCCGGCTGTCATCACCAACGCTAAATTAGCTTTCTCATCTCTTGTTGTATGAGAAGTACTTGAGCATAACTATCCATATACTGACGCTTCAACTACATTCTTTGTTGTGTGGTGAGTAAAAGCAAATCCTCGTCCCGCACCACAAAGATATAGCAGGCAATGGCAACTAGAAAAAAAATGAAGTCCCAGTCGAACCGGACAAAAAAAAAGAAGCTCTTAGTTTGGTGTACAATGTTGACCTTGCTGCTAACATATTTGCCCGAGTTAATCAAACGAGCCCTTCACCTCCCTATCACCACTCCAACGCACAAACTCCTCGAGCTTGGCGTACATAACGCGCTAAAAGAAATCGCCGAAGCTCAGGAGCACATGCAATTGAATTGACTGACCACCGCTAAGGCAGGCCCCCATAATCTGCGCGAGCTTGGCTTCTCCTCGACGGCCACGAATCTCTCAGAGTTGACTGTAATTTCCTGTGAAATACGTGAACTTATTATGACCGCTCTCATTCCACGAAATGTACACCCCGAATACAACAGAGGCAGGCGCCTTGCGCGGGCGACCGCCATTCTCAAGCGCATAGACATGGAAGCGGACAACGTCTCGTTCGTGGACGCTGCTCTTATCACAACAACCGAGCCTTCACTGCGTTGGCGGTATCATCCGCGTAGCAGATTCTTAACTCAGCCACAATTCTCACCCGAAACCCTGACGTAGCGGAGCAAGTAGCTATAGCTATACGTATGCTCGACAGCAAACGGGAACTCATATACACCGACTCCAGACCGGCCATCAAAGCTTTCAAACGTGGAGCCATCTCCGACCAGAAGTTACTTCTGCGCCGAGAGGACCCGAGTGTCCTCAAGCACCACACTGTCATCTGGTTCCCCGCTCATCTCGGCCAAGTGCCGGGTGCCTCATCCAACCTCAATGAGATCTCCTATGATTCACCGCGCGCACTTATCGAACGCGCCGCCACAGGGCAACCCCATCTCGCTGAGTTAGAGAGCAATCGGGATGCACCTATTACGTGGAACGACATAACAAAACACTTTTACCTTGAGCGCCGCATTTTTCCACCCCCGCACTCGAAACCTAACAGACTGCGGGCGCTAACCCTACACCTATTACAGACATACACTTACCGAAACCTTGCCAAGCTTCACGTTTACTATCCTGATGCATGTTCTAGCGATACATGCCCCTCGTGTGGACACACGGTGACATTTGCACACATGCTCTGGGAGTGTAGAAACACTCCTCCCGACTCAACCTCGAACAAGTGGGAGAGGTCCCCGAGCAGCTCACTTCTAGCCGACCAGCATTGGGCCGTTCAGCAGGCTCATGAAGCAGTCGCCATGTACTCCCTGTCGGTCCTTACGTGGGAGACGCCCGCTACGCGCTAAGCGCGTCCTGTAGGACTGAAATAAAGTTTTTTTCATTCCATACCATCTTCAGTGACCACTCTTGCGATGCGTAGCCTAATGGCATTGTCTTCGAGATCTCGCTTTCCTGTCGGTTGATAGCGTAGGAGTTATCTGTTGATATAAACTTCTTCCTAAATGATTTTTAAAAGAATTTCGGATACTGTCCCCCTCCCCCGCCCCGTTAGTGTCAAGTTGGTTTGCATAATGGTTTCATTATTTTTTTCTAGTAGCAGATGCGTATTGTCTACGTGAAAAAAATTATTCTTGAATTTTTGT